GGTGACTTCGAGCAGGTACCTGTTTCTTAAACAAAACATGATGGAGAAAGGCAAACACTCCATGTAAGGTTGGACCAGTGTGGGGTGAAGTAAGGCCTGATTTTTTGTACTGAGTCACTCTGTGAAGCCTGTTCGCACAGTTTTTTATATTTCTCTCATTCTAAGCTTCAAGTCTACTTAAATGCCTATTTTAGCACAAATACACATTAAGTTTATCAGGCAAGAAAGACCTATTCTGTATTCTCACCATTAATTTTTCACTAAAACCTATATACAAGAACATAACATCAGTAATTTTATCCTAAAGTTAATTACGCTGAGTTTGGTTTATTATTTCAACCTTTAAAATCCATCTCCTTGAGTGGGGAGTTGGGAAACTATCAACAAATTATTTTTATTTCAGCTATATATATATACATATATATATTTTCAAATTCTAGTTCGAATTTTGATTCTGCTATTTATTTGCTGGATGATGCTGAGCTAAAATTTAACCTTTCTAAGCCTCGCTTCCTCTTTTCATAAAATGGGGATATCACCGACCTCCTAGGATTGCTGTAAGGATTAAATAGGCATTACAATTTAAAACAATTAGCTATTATGATTATGGCAGTATCAACAAGTTAGTATTAGTCTCAGCAAAAAAAAATGGCATTAAATTTTTTATCAAGAGTTTAACACATTGCCTTGTAGAAGAGAATGTCTCAATTATTTCTGAACTGAAAACGGTTCACCTAAAAAAAGTGTTCTATGGGGAGGAAAAAAGTCTTGAACAATATAGGTTGTAGATAAATAGGGCCTACAAATCTTCTTGACCTCAGTTTAAAGTATTATCGAATTTAATTTGATAGGTATTCCTACTGAGTGGATTTCCCCAAATATTTAGCTTACCATGCTCCCGAACGAGCAAGCTCTCTTTAGGGCTTCGGCGCTTCCTTTCCAGTTCTTACTTCTAATTGTTTAGCAGCAGTTTGCTCCCCACCAAAATAACACCTGTGAGAAGACAAACCAACCCAGATAAATTCAGAGTTTCCACCTTCTCTTGCTACGGTCATATTCCTTTCCTCTACATTATTGTTTTTCCTTCCTGTCTCGAAATTGGATGCCTGTGGCAGCCGAGAGCTATATCATAACCTCACTTACTCAGTATGATGAACATGGTCAAGAGTGGTATGAGGAGGCAGCAACAAGGGCATTTCGGCGATGAGAGAAAAATTATCCACATAAGGAAACAAATGCAATGAGCCAGGAAGTGACGCGAGCCATACCAGGATGAGAAACAGTCACAAAATCTAATGCGACTCATCGAGGTGAACGAAAGCCGACAACGGCATTTCGTATAAACCGATCTGTCTTTCATTCCTACTCAGAAATTATGGATCTGAAATACAGAGATTTTAGAATCAATCTCCAAACAAGTAATGCATGTCCATGTTATAGTGAAAGAAAATTTGTTCTGTAAAAACTAAGAAACTTGCCAATACCAAGTGCCAAATAAGGAATGTCGAGGAGCTGGAGTCAGCGACTGCCAGTCCCTCTCCTAGAGCCTAACACCCTGACCTTTGCAGCAGCGAGATTTTCAAAACATCACTAAAATGCTGGGGTTGAGAACCTGCCTCCTGG